CTCTCTCTATCTCATTCCCTCTCTCAAATAAATAAATAATCTTAAAAAATAAATAAATAAAAATAAAAATGTCTCTAATGTCCAACTGAAATACCCAGGATGACTGGGATAGAATTCTAGGTTGGAAATAACCACTCCTCATCATTTTGAAGGTATTGCTCAATTTCTTCTCACTTCCCCAATGCCTTGTTTCCTTTAGCTCGGTTGGCTCCACTAGCCTCCAGAGGTAGGGCTTTGCCTTAAGATTTTATTCAGGCTCACTGAGCTATTCTACTTCATTAGTAACATTTTTTCATTTCTAAAAAATAAAATCCATTTGAAGAAATTGACTGTGATGTTTTCCAATTTCCTGTACCCATGGACTATCTTTTCCTAGAATTTGGTACCAGGAAAATGTTTGAATCTCACGGAAACTTCTATGCTGTCTTTTATGGGACAATAGGCACTAAGTAATCCATTGTGATTCATTTTTTGTCTTGACTATTAGTGTCCAATTGCATTAAACTCTCATACCATATTCAATTCATTTGTATCCTCAGATGTTTAATAAAAGTGAATAAATGTGAAGGAACAGACAATGGGAAGGCAACTCTTGTCAGCTATTTCAGCACTCCAGACTGAAGGGAAAGAAACATATATTTCCTTTCAATGGAAGGACATCAACACCACATTGTCATACTATATATCTAGGTGGGATATAGGTCAGTGTAGCCATCTTTACAAAATGTAATCTGCCATATAGGGCATGAATTTGATGATTTATTTGTTCTCACCCATCAGTATTTGCAATAAATCACCAAATCCTACTACTATTATGTTCCAGGTCTTTTTTAGTTCATCACCATTTAGACCACCATCATCATCCCACCTGGATTATTGCACAACCTCCTAAAAAACTAGTCTTTTGGCCTCCAGGCTTCTCTCTCCAATCTTTTCTCTCCTGAAGCCAAAACAGCTAAAAAGCAAACAAACAAACAGACCACTTATTTGATTAAGTATTCCTTAGCTTGCTTATCCTGACTAGAAATCCCACTAGATTGCTTACAAGTGAAACTAACTGATTTGTGGTTTTCCTCTTTCTTTACTGATGCACAATCCACCACTCTTTACCATTATGTTTGCATTTAATCAAAAGTTACAGTTTGGTCACACTTCCAAGAAGGAGTAATTTTTTTCCTAGAAACTTATTCATATGTAGCACATGTCACTTACTTACATAATATTTCAAAAGTACTTGGTCTTTAATCCTTTGCATTCTGGCTTCTGGCTTCTTCACTTTACCCTGATGATAAAGTGTAGTGTTTCTCAAAGTGTAGTCCAAGGATCACCCACAATGGATTGTAGAGGGGAAGGTCCCAAAATTTGTATTCAAATGAAGAATACCATGTGATTCTAATGTACATACAGTTTGAGAACCACCAAGTAAAGTTTCTCTGACGTGCCCAGTTAAACTTAAGAGCCAATTTATTTCATGTCCCTCTGCTTCCTCCAGCTTCTCCTTGATGTCCCATTTTCAGCCTGACAAGGAAAGGTGGGTAGAGGAGAAGAGTATGTACTCTGACCTGGGACTGGGCTTCTTCTTGACTGTGGGAGTTTCTTCAGCTTGCCTTTTTGCCTGTGAGATGAGCTCAGCGGTTCATTTATTTGAGCTTGCTCTATCTTTCTAAAGTCTCGGGGCCTTGACTCACCCTGGTCTTTCAGTCTAGAATGTTTTTCTCTCCCAACTCCACCCGTCCAAAAGTCATCTGTTATTCGAACCCTCCAAACAATCCTTCTGGAGTCCCTCAGCCCTATATGCTATGCCCCCCAGGAATCCAGGCAAGCGCCCATTCATAAATTCAACAAATCTACTGAGCCCTACTATGTACCAGGTACTGTTCCAAGGCCTGGAGATTGTGTCTCATGGAACAAACCAGATTAAAATCCTTACTCTTGTGGAATTGGTATTCTAGTGAAGACGACACACAAAAAAACAAAAGAAAACAAGACAGACAATACGTAGTAAACAAATAAATAAGAAAATTGTATGTTAAAAGGGGAAACAGGAGTGGGGCGGGGTGGAGTTCCAATTGAAGCAGTGTGGTGGAAGAGCTTCATTGAGAAGCTATTAAAGGGTGGAAGAGTGAGCCATAGGGCTACTTAGTGGAAGAGCATGCAGCCAGAAATGCCAGACAGGTTGGAAGGGGAGGGAGAGCAAGGAGACCTTTGTGACTGGAGCAGGGAATTCTAGGAAGAGGTCAAGGAGGTTATGGGTGATCAGATTCTATCAAGCTTTGTAAGCCACTGTTAAAATTTGGGGTTTTACTCCAAGTGGAATGGGAAGCTTTTGCAGGGTTTTAAGCAGAGGAGGGACATAATCTGTTTTACGTTTTTAAGCATCTCTCCGGCTGCAGTGTAAAGAATAGACAAGATTAGAAAAGTGCATTCAATAGGCTATTGCAATAATCCAGGGGAGGCATGATGGCGTTTTGGAGCATGGTGGCAGGTGTGAAAGTAATAAAATTAGCACTTGTTCAAATGCAACTTGCGGCATTAATTATGGCTTGCATTGAATGCATCACTAACATGCTTCTGCAATGGGTTTTCCCAGCCTGGATTTCAGGGAAGGATAGGCAAAGAAAGGAGGAGGGATGGTTTGAGGTTACCAAGGAGACCAAGCATCATAAATCTGAAAACCTGAGATGGTTGTAGGCCTTTAGGCCTCTGGCGCAGCAATAATTCTGTGGCCGAGCCCACCAGCCGTTTCCCAATGACCATGCGCAACAGGCCAGGTGGGAGCCTATGGAAAACACAGGACTTTAGCAAAGCGGGACAAACGCATTCCGGGAATCGTAGTTCTGCGCCTTTACGCAGGCGCAGTGGCCCCTCGCCGGCTTGCGCGCGCAGCTCCTGCAGGACCAGTTTCTAGAAGCTCATTGCGGTGGCGTTGGTCCTGACTGCGGGTGCTGATGCAGGTAGCGGTTGTCCCGGGCCCCTGATTTGGGGGCCGCGGCCAGCTCGCCGGCTCCAAGGATGCACCCGGGGCGGGGTGGGTAGGGGGTGGGTGGGGAGCCGAGCGACCTCACCATGCACTCCCGATGCCGCAGCTTCGGGGGGAGGTGGGCACTGTCCTGAATGACGGAGCTTTCCTCCATCCCTTCCCTGCGCCTATGGTCCTGCAACTTGGGTATGCGGGACAGTTTGGGCGGGAAAATTCCTTGATGTGTGTGCGTGGGGGAAGGAGCTTTGCGGTGACTGCAGGATGTTTAGCAGCATCCCTGGCTGTACCCGCCAGGTAGGTCTCAGTAGCGCTCCTCCTCTCCAGCCGCGATAACCAAAATGTCTTCAGCGCCCCCCTCCCTTTGAGAACTTTTTTCTGCCTGCGTCATATTTTCGCGGAGCCTCTGTTGTAGGCCCCCTGGAGACCGAGACGAGTGTCTTAGTCACCGCACAGCCCCAGGTGCTCAGCGCGGCGCAGGTACTCGGTAGGCGCCTAATATTTGGCGAAGGAATAAGTGACGTCATGCGTACGTGTGTGCCGGGCTCTGTGCTCGGAGGTGGGTAATTACTGGTGTAATAGTTGCAACAGGAGGAGAGTGTAGAGTGTGCTTTCACCTGCCGCACTGTAGCGCATCTCACTCAGGCTGTATTGTCATTTCCTGGGTGTTGTCTGAGGGTGGGGCCCCTGCCCGATCTGTCCACGCGTGTCTCCGTAGTTTCCTGATGGTCAGTATTTGCAGAATGAAAGAACGCATGTAACACAGGATAGGCTCTGTGCAAAAGAGCACTTGGGGATCAGAGAAAGCTTTATACAAGAGGTGACAGTTGAAAGGAGTCAAGTTTTAGGGGATGAGTAAAAGTTTGGTAGGAGAGGGAAAGAAGGCGGCTTCCGAGGAGAGGGAACTGCTCAATGCAAAGGATGGAAGGGGATGGAGGGTGTGTGGGAATGGGGACATTTCTTCTTTCTGGCTGCAGCATCCATCGGGCAGCTAGAGCTCAAGAGGTGAGGTCTTCAGGGCAGGGTCTCTAGATCATCATGCATGGCCTCTGCATTTGAATTTTATCTTGGGACAGATGGGGGGAGGGTGATAGGACCCGGGTTTGCATATTAGAAGGAACCCTGGGGCTGCAGTCTGAGACTGGATTGAAGAAACCTGTACATGGGTAGTTTAAGTAGGATAGAATGGAGAGGTTCTTAAGAAATAAAAATGCCAGAACTTGGTTATTGATTATGTGAGAAATTTGAGAGGCAAATAGGAAATCAGGCTTGTGGGTTGAGCACCTGGAGGGAAATGGTTGGCCCGTCACTGCAGCAGTTTGGGAGCTGATGAATAAATTTGTGACTGGATTCTCTTGTAGCCATGAGCCTTTTCTCATGTGTTTTGCTTATGAGGAGTATTTAGTCCGAAGAAACTGTTTTCTTGGAGGGTATCTTTAATTACCGTTAAAATCTCCTCCACTTCTCACCTAGACCTTTAATGTAGCAGCTGGGCAGGGCAGTTCTAGGCCTCTGTGTATGTCTACAGATATCTGAACCAAACCAAGAACAATGTTTTTAGGAGTAATAATTTGTTTTACTTAATATCTTCTATTTCTTGACAGTTTCTGCAAGACCATTAGCTGAATGTTTGGAACCCTTGATATTTTGCTGCCAATAGTGCCTGCTGGTGGACTGTACTGATAATTCAACTAGAGTCTAAAGGGAATTGGATTCCTCTGCTGATACACATTGCAAGCTGTAGTAGCCTTGAATAAGATGACAGCCATCTCCCCAGACCCTCAAACTCTGGCCTCAAGTGAACCAAGCAAGGTCCTGAGAATGGATACTCCTGGGGATCAAGAAGCTATCCTAAGAGGAGACAGTACTGACCCAGAGACTTTCAGACAGAGATTCAGATGGTTTTGTTACTCAGAAGTGGCTGGACCCAGAAAAGCCCTAAATCAACTCTGGGATCTCTGCATTCAGTGGCTGAGACCAGACATCCACACGAAAGAACAGATTTTAGAGCTTTTGGTATTTGAGCAATTCCTGACCATTTTGCCTGGGGAGATCAGATTTTGGGTAAAGTCACAACATCCTGAGAGCAGTGAGGAAGTGGTGACCCTAATAGAGGATTTGACCCAAATGCTTGAAGAAAAGGAAGGTGAGATTTATAGATGGCAGGAGGATGAGGGAGCAATCTCCTCAAGGTGTGAAAGTAAACTCCTCCAAAGAAAGCAATTGATTGCTAAAAAGGAGTCTTTAAGTTTGGGGTTGAGACTGGCTTTGGATCAGCCCTACCTTTTACTGTGTTATCTTGGGCAAGCTGTGTAACCTCTCAGAAACTTTTTTTTTTTTTTAATCTATGGAAAGGGATTCCCATCTGCTTAGTCTTTTATGAGGGTTAAACATGATAAGGTATAATACTAATTTCTTTCCTTGCAGCCTTGAGTAAAAGGGAATCTTAGAACACAGAAGAGAAGGAAATTATCTGCACATGTTTGGAGTCACAAGCATATCATCCAGGGCAGGCCTCAGCTTCTGCCTCCAGTGTGTGAGGAAAAAAGTTTCTATCTGTGATGATGGGAAGGCGTTCTGCACTGTTTGGCACTTCACATTAAGCATCTGAAATGTGAAGAGGGCAAATAAGGAATTGAATCTTAAATTTAAATAGCCGTATGTGGTGAGCAACTATGCTATTGGATGATGCGGTTCCACAGCATTGGGGAGGACAGCTGACTGACAGTTTTATGATTACATTATTATACATACACAAATGTATAAAATATAAACGGAATTATAACATATCATCATAAAATATTGATAAAAAGACTTTTAGCGTGGATAGCCCTTTGAGGGCATGCGGTCCAACTTTTATAATATCTCTCTAATATGCTACAGATGTCCCAAATACGTGTAGCAGATGAGCCAGCTCTCAATACATATGTGGGACAGTTTGTATTCAACCAAGAGTTCCCAGATAGGGAAATGGCATTTACCTCTGCAGAGTTAAATTGTGGCCACACAGCTAATTGGTATGTTCAACATCGGGGTTTCCTGTCTGACTTGTCTGTCAGGGCAACACGGTGCTTCTCCAAAATTAGGGGCTCTGTGCGGAAGCCCCTCGCAATAAAGAAGCTTGTGAATTGATCGCTGTAGCATTCTGTAAGAACAGTTTCCTCAAAAGAGTCCCTTCTAATTCCTGTTGATTGTCTAATCAATAAGCTGCCTAAAATTCTTTTCATAAGAAAGTAAAGCATGATTTAAAAAATACTTAACCCTTATCAGAAGAAGAGCTGTTGACATCTGAGGGTTTGTAATATATTTAGTTGATATGTTCAGGTTCCTGATTTTCCGGCTTTAGGCATCTGCTTGTGACCCCAGAAGAGGAGTGTGTTCCTGAGACCAGCTGGGTGCTTTCATTCAAAACGTGACTCTCTGCAAGGCATTGTGCTAGGACTATGAAGAAAACAAATTAATACATAGAACAAATATGCCGTTTTACCTTAATACAGCCTATGAATATTTTTAAAATAACTACTATGCAAATAAAACATTAAAACTGTAGGTGTGTGGATTGAATAAAATCAATTATTGTGAGCTTAGGAATTGAAAGGCTATTTTATGGAGTAGGGGGGAAAGTTTCGATTTTAAAAAGAAGTGTATGTGGCTTTTATCTCTGTTTTAAAAAGAGTGGGAAAAACTTAGTTTCTTCTGACTTTTTTCTCCAGAGAAACATGTATAAGATTTTCTAGTCTGAGGAATGCATTTGAAAGACTAGAGTGTTCTTGCCCCCCCTTCCTAGATCCAGTCTCTGAAGAGTCTGTTATTTCCCAAGAGGAGAACCCTGAAGAAAATAAAGTGGTTTCTGTCCTTCCAAGTACTGAGTCCCAGGTAAGCTTCCTTTCACTGGTTTTCATTCTTAAGTGAATACTTACTGAGCTCCTATGGAGTGGCATAAAGATAATAGAATAATGAAGACAGTTTCCTTCACATTCTTCGAACTCATTCTTCAGATGCTATTTTATTTCAGTTATCAGAATTTGTCACAAGTCTGACTCTAAGAAAAACAACAAAAAAAAGTTTACTGAAATTGTACAGTTATTCTTGATAAAATTAGTCAAATAGAAATAGAATTATATTTCCTTAATACAATAAAAAAAAATCTCCAGCTGAATGGTATTGGAAAATAAAAAACAGCTCTCACGATGCCTGTAAGAAGATAAGGATGTCTAATCGTGCTGCTGTTGATGAGTAGTTTTTGAATATTCTAGCCAATGCAGTAAGATAAGAAGGGAAGGAGTTTAGGATTGGTAAGAAAGAGACAAATGTGTGTTATTTGCCGATAACATGGTCTATTTGGAAAACCTCTGAGAATCAACAAGTACTGAAACTCATAATTGAGAAAAGTGGCTAGTTATAAATTAATTAGAATAATTTATAATCAGTTACAAATCACTTAGAAAAAAAATTTTTTTAAGATTTTATTTATTTGAGAAAGAGCGCACGTGCGCACACGCATGCATGAGGAGGGGGGAGCTGCAGAGGGGAGGAAGAAGGCTCCTCACTGAGCTGGGAACCCGGGTCCGGCGCTCCATCCCAGGACCCTGGGATCATGACCTGAGCCGAAGGCAGCCGCTCAACAACTGAGCCACCCAGGCGCCCTGAAAAAGAAAATTCTTATTCACAGTAGTAATTAATACCACTGTAGTAGACTGATAATGGCTACCCAAAATGTGTCCACTTCTAATCCCTAGAACCCGTGAATGTTAATCCAAAGCAAAAAGACTGTATTTCATGTGTTTGTTAGGAATCCGTGACATTCAAGGATGTGGTGGTCAGCTTTTCCAGAGGAGAGTGGAGGAGGCTGGAGCCTTTTCAGAAGGAGCTCTATAAGGAAGTGCTACTGGAGAACTTTAGGAACCTAGAGTTTCTGGGTAAAGATATCTCTTTATGATGTAACGTATGAGCTGTACATCTTTTCATCCACCATTATTGAAAGATAAATGCTATTAACTGTATTGGCTGGGCACGCAGGGGTGATCCGACTAATCCTAAAAACGGGTTCTGAAAATGTACTTTTCTGCAATGTTTTCTCCCCCCCCTCCCAAAAAAAAGTTTCTGCTTCATTGAACTGGAAATGTTGAGTATCATGTGCTGTCATCGAGGACATACCTTCCCCAGTTCCTCCTCATTTTCCAGGCTTGAGTTCTGTATTTGACAGCGTCTTCTCTTCCCTAGAGAACCAGAGGCTGTGCGTGAATGTTGGAACAGCTTTGCCCTCTGCAGAAACAGTCATTTTTTACTCTTTTCTCTATGAGCAGGCTTTCCAGTTTCCAAATTAGATTTGATTTCCCAGTTTAAGTGGGTTGAACTGCCATGGCTGCTGGAAAAAGAAATTTCAAAAGGCTCCAGACCAGGTAAGTTGGTGAAAAGCAAAGAAATTAAAACAGTTGCTTAACCAAGTCATTTGTGAAGAGCTTTTGAAATGTTGGGTGGGCTGGATGCTAAAATAGAAAGGTGATTAGAATAGACCCCTTGCCTTCCTGGAATATTCATTTTACTGGAGAGACCATTCACTTAGGTCCTCTGAGAAGTAGATGCCAAGACGTGGTTAGCTATGCCAGGGACTCACTGGGGAGTGAGGAAAGTGAACGAAAATGGGAGACCTGTCAGAGTGGGTGGGTGTAACACCTGTGAATGACGGAAGGAAGGAAGGAAGGCTGGGTAGGAAGTGTCTTAGACTGAAGTGCAGTGTTCTATTTTTTTTTTTTTTAAAGATTTTATTTATTTGAGAGAGAGAGAGAGCATGAGAGGG